GGCGCATGGCAGTTGCGGGGCGTGGGCAGCCGGCCTGGGGACCAGAGCGGAGGCCGGGTTGGAGCCATGCCGCCGGATAATGTGTGCGGGGAATAGCTGCCTGAATGCTGCTTATTTTTAACCCCATCGCTATTTTTTTTTTTGTGCGTGCGTGTCCCCGTTTAAGTTAGGTTCCCCCATGGTTTCTTTGCGCAAGGAGTTTTGGCTCGATGCCACCGTTTTTGAACAGTTGAGGAAGAGCAGGGTGTTAAACTTGAGCCCAAACACGGAAGGGATTAGCTGCGGTTTGCGTTGAGGGCCCCCATGGTGTACTCACAGCACTAAGCACTCTCCCAGCCGCTTACATTTATTTACCTTGCCTGGGGAGAGCAGAACCAGCCAATTACAGCTAAATAAATATTACAGAGCTGCTACCCGGCCAGTAGCCCCACCCTTAAAAATAAAATGGTCACAAAGTGGTGATGTAGTCTGTTGCGTCCTCAAAGGTTTCTGTATGAAAGAGCTCGCTGCCAGCTGAGCCAGTGTCGGTTTATTTTTTTTTTGTTTTCCTCGGTCCATCCGATTTCCAGCAAGTGGCAGTGTCAGCAGGTAGTGACCACGCAGATCTGGCAGATAAAGTTCAGTGGGGCTGTGACAGTTTCCGAAAGGGCAAATGAGGCCGCTCCAGTCTCGGACGTCTTACCACGGAGTCGGCTTTCCTTGCAGGCGTCCAACCCAGCTTAACTGACCTCTGCAGACCCTCAAACTCTGCTCTTCTCCCCCAGGACTCAACAGGGAGGTGCAGAAGCACTGGGCTTAAGTCTTCTGTGTGTTTTTTCTTGTTCCTTTCGTTATTTATCACAGCTAGTGGATGAAGTTAGATCTGTGGAGTACTTTACCTGCTTTCGCTGGAGGTTCAGGTTGGCTTTGCATCCAGTGGGGAGGACCAGTTTGTACGAAAGCTGCTGGAGCAGCAGCGTGGACTGGAGAGTTAGCACAGAAAATTTTCCAGACTGTCTTTGTTTCGTGGAACGGTCGTTGTCGGTGTCTTAACAGCATTATCGCCTGTCTGTGCCGCTTCCCCAGCCTGTGCGGGGGTGGCTGGAGTTGCCTGTTCCCGCCGTCCTCCTGCCCTTCCAGCCTCCCCGATTCCCCATGGGACGGCATGGGGTCGCTGGTCCCATCCTGGTTAGGTAGTTGGTCGTCAGCCATCGCTCCGTGCCCTCCCCGCTTGAGGCACTTCATTTTGGAGAGGTCCACGTTGCGCTGGTGTTGGTCATGGCGTGCCGTCGCCGCTCATGTGCACGAGGGACAGCACGGTGTATCTGCGATGCCCTTATGTGAGAGAGACGGTGCTGCGTTGTGTCACCCGGCACGGCTCTCCGCTCCTCGGTGCGGACTCCAGGAGCCAACTCGGACGGGGTGACCACCGCGATGCAGCCGTTGCCGTAGTGCGCAGAGGGTTTCATTTTGCAAAGCCTAAGTTCTTTTAGCCGCTTCCTGGCGTGGAGCACGATGCGAGGGTCCGAGCACCTCCAGCGCTGCTGGTCGGATGGAGCTGGAGATGCCAGAGACGAGCGAGAGCCAGGCCGCCGAGAGCAACGTGAGCTCGGCGTGGTCTGTGGCAGCTCGGCAGGTAGGATGGGGCAAGATGGAGCCTACTTGGCTAAGGAAGAACCACGAGGTCCCCTCCCAATGGGAGGGGACTTTTTGGGGGAGAAGATCAGATGCCGAAGGAAGAGAGGGGCTTCCTTAGGGGATCTGAGCGGTGATGATGGTGCCGGAGTTTGGCTGTTGTGGTTTCCTTGCCCAGGCTGTGACAGCGCTGGGGTTTGGTTTGGGGTCTCGCTCTGGAGAGTGGACAAGGCCAGGTCTTTCTGTTCAGCCCGGAAGCCTGCGACTCCACCACCGTGGCTGGGGGCTGCGGCCCGGGGTGGGCACCGTGTCCCCATGGCCGCTGACCGGGCTCTCCCCTTCTCCGCAGTGACCACCGCGAGCCCCATGAAGACGCTTTACGTCATGTCGGACGCCAAGCTCTCTGCACTTACTAAGTCTGTGATGGGTGAGGCTACCTCTGGCCCCCTCAAACGGCCGGGCATCCAACCTTCCTCCTCATCTGCCAGCTCTCCCACCGGCGCCATCACCTTCGCCGGTGCCCCCAGCCCTCCTGGCAGCCTGGTACACTCGAAGGTGGGACCTGTCCTGCAAACGGCTTCCAAGACCGTCATCCTGACCTCAACGTTGGCCGCGGTGAAGGGCGATGGACCCCTGGGACACGTGGGGGAGAAGGTCAGCCTGACCAAGAACGCTGCAGCCCTCGGCCATGCTCTGGGGGCAGCGGAGACCCTGGGGAGGGTTCCCTCTGTGGTGGATGACGGCAGCACCATCATCCATGCCAGAGAAGCTCTGGCCAACAGACACTTGCTGCCGCAGGGGGTGCTGCCAGGAGGGGCTGGCACTACGCTCATAACGCTGGGCAGCAGCCTGGCAAACTCCTCCATCATCGCCACAGCAGGGCCCACGCTCAGCCAGAAGCCGTAGGGACCCCCCTGGCTGCCACCGGGCACGTGGGGGAAGACCGAGCTCAGCTGTGGGGTGGGAGAGGAGCAGCCCTGGGCTGGTGCAGGCTGGAGAGCAAACTGGGGGATGTTTTTCTGTTTTTCTTGCTGTTTAATAAAAGGTTTGCTGTTTTGGGTTTTTTGGGTTTTTGGGATTTTTTTTTGTTGTTCTTCAAGTGACTTCATCGCACATGTCCCTTCGAAAAGCAGCTTTGCTCGCAGCCCAGCCCTCGACCTCTTTAGTCGAGGGTTTGTTTTTCTTGCCGTGAAGGCGTGGAGGGACAAAGCAGGGAAGGATTCAAGCCGTGGGTCCTGGGAGCAGCAACCAAGGCAGCTCCTCCTGCCTCTACCATCTGCCGGTATGTCCCTCCTCCAGGTAGAAGTTTCAACTGATTCCTCCTACTTCTGGGAATATTTATACGTGCTGAAAAAGGCTCAACTTTATTCTGACCTGATCCTTGACTTAACCGGTACAGTTGCATTTGCGTCGGTAAGAAGGGGTAGCGCCGGGGACCGCAAAGGGGCCAAGCCACAAAATGAGGTGAGGCCGAGTTCAGCATCACCGAGGGTGTTTTGCCAGGGATCGAGACAAGTCTTTTATCCCCCCGGGGCTGTCGCTGGGCTCTTGGATTTACTGTCAGGGGACAGAGCTGAATGGGTGGGTCTTTTTGTGGTTATCGGGGATAATCCCGACGCTCTGTATGTCTCCGTCTCGTGCTGCGCCCCCGAGCCCTGGACCCTTGCTTCCCCGGAGGCACGCAGGGCGTCATGCAGGCTGAGATGATTTCGGGGAGCACGATCCTCAGCGGAGGAAGACCCACGGTGCCAGGACGGCCCCGTGCTCCCTCTGAGCGCAGGCGCATTTGCTTCCTCATCCTGCCAGCTTGTGAGAAGATCCTGGTTTTGGCTCAGCTTGGCCGGACCAGCAAGCACCGCGGCAGAAACAGGGTTTTTGTTACAGGGAACCCAAAAACAGAGCAGGAGAGTAACTATTTTCCCCTTTGATGGCTGTATTTGCTCCTCGTGAGAGGAGGCAGATGCCGTGAGCCCCTTCCTACCCTTCCTGACCGACACACGCACCGCCTCAGGTGCTGTCTGGCCTTTTGGGGATTGTCCGGCTTTGCCTTCGGAGCCTCTCGCACACGGAACTTTGTGCCGCCATGA